CTGCGAGCTGAGACCGTGGCCGCGGAGCCCGCACGGCCGGCGCCGAGGTGAGTCCGGCGAGAGGCCGGGCGCGGCGGCGGGGCGGCGGGCGCGGGGCGCAGACCTTCGGCAGGGAGACGCCCCCAGCGCGGATCCCGCACCCCCGCCCCAGGACTCAGACCAGGGTTCACCGTCCTCCTCCCGCCCCCCTTTCTACGGACCGCACCCCGTGTGTGCTTTCCGGGATCCCACTCCTCTCCCATCCCTGCGAGGTACACCCCTCCTGCCCCTGCCCTGCGCTCCCCACCGCACCCCACTTCCTCCGGTCCCCACATTCCCTCCCCGCGCCTCGGACGCCCCCTTCTCCCCTAGCTGCAGTTCGGGGTGCGCCCTCGGGTAGCGCGTTCCAGCGGCTGGCAGGGAGTGGCCGAGCGTTCCCGCAGGCACACGGCGACTGAATCGACTGTGCCGGCTGGGGGCCGGGCCGCCCTGCGCTCCGGGGGAGCCGGGCGCGCCCTCCGGTTCTCACCCTGCCGCGGGGCTCGACCCGGGAACCGCCAGCGCCCAGGGCCGGCGGTCCCTGGGCCGGAAACCGGCACAGAGCTGGCCTGTGTTCACACCTTGCTTCCAAAATTGAGCCAGCCCCAGAGGCCGAGAGGGCGAGTCCGGTTGCGCATCGCAGAGCGCAACAGGCAGGTAGGAGTTTACTTTCAAAAAACGCCGGGGTGGAGCAGAAAGCAGCCGGCAAGTCTCTGCCCGAGGGGTTCCAGTTGGAGGAAGCTCACCGCGCCGCGGCGGCTTCGCCACCGGCAGGACCTCATTTCCAACGGCAGTCTTTGAACTGCCCCAAGCAACGCGCCCAAAAGAGTGTGAAGCTTTATAAAAATTTAAACGCGTCCGTGGCAGAGACAGGAGTGGGGCGGAGCCGAGGCCTGGCGGCCCCGGAGATGAACTTGGAATGAGACTTGGAGCCCAGAAATCTGTGGCTCAGTTTTCACGTCTTCAAACCAGGTATCAAGCCCACTCCACCAAGGTGTTGTGAACTCTTTTAGCTGCTCGTTAAGAGATGCTAGGGCGCTTTATTATGGTGATTGTGTGACTGGCACGTGCATTTTGTTACCCACCCACCCCTTTTTTTTTCTGGGGCTGTGGTTGGAAATGCATGCATTTTTAGGCACTTATTCCAAAATCTAGCAGGCTGTAAAAAATCTGGCATTTTCAGTGATGTGTTTACACATTTTAAAGGGTGGCTGTCAATATTATAACTTGTGTCACCCGTCAACAATGCTAATTAGCATTCTCCTTCCTGAAGGTGGGTTGTTTGATTACACAGCTCCTAGGCTCTAAGTGAGATGGCAGAAACTGTCTGCATCCAGGGAGATGTAATTAGTCACTTTATGTAACCACTAATTAGAGTTTTTAGAGTTGAATTAAATCAATGTGATATAGTTGGGGCTTTGATTTGTGGGAGGAAACTGTTTTATCCTCCAGTTCAAAGAAATAACACTTTTCACCTATTGGTGAGCATTTAGCATTCCCAAACTTTGGTGTCTCTCAGTATAATTAGTGAAACATCTAGCCTGAAATTTTCACTGTTTCTGTGTTGGCAGTGTGACTTGGTTGCAACTTAATTTGTAAGTGAAATGGGAGGAGAATTTTGAGAACAGCATATTGGTAAGGACTGCTTGCCAGGTAGTACAGTTTTATTGTCTTACGAATTTGAGGGACAGGATGAAACCATAAAGGGAAGTTTCCTTACCAAGTAACAATTCCGTGTCACCCTGATCTATTGAAGACTAAACAGGCATTGCGTGAGGAAGGTATTATCCCCTCCATCTCCCTAACACCCACGAACACCCAGTTTGTTACCCTAGGTAGGCCTCAGCAGCATTTGGGTTGCATCGGTGCTCATCATATTCTATTTGAATAGGTAGTTTCCACCTTTGAGCTGTGAGCTCTGTAGGAGCCAGAGCTAGTTCAGCTTCGTTTCTTTTCTCCTGGACGCCCACAGTGCTTGGGACACTGACCTGCGAGTAGGAGTTGAAACTGCACAATTCTTTGTGGGTTCCGTGTGGTTTGGGACCATTTAGGATTGTTGCCCACCCTCCTTTGTGGAAATAAATAGTTCTGGTAATTGCTACATTGCTGTACGTTTTCCATAGCTAAGAGCAGAGGTTCTGGAATTAGACTCTCAGAATTTAAGCCCAGCACTTACCAGGTGTGTGACCTTGGTTTCCTTAACTGTAGCATAAAATTAATATGTTATCTTCCTTATAAGGCTTGCTCTGAGGATTAAATGAGATATTGCATGCAAATGACTTAAAACAGCCCCTAACACATAGTAAGCACTCGATAACTAAGTTGTTAAGATTATCGTCACCATCCTCTATCTGTAAAGTGAACTAGCTGTGGTTAGGTGGCTGGCTGGGTATGGGCAAGTGATTTGGGCATCGTGTTATGCCATTTTCCAGAGGCAGACAATACAAGATTAGGTGGAACTGGGGCTGGACCATGTTTCTACTAGTGACTGGACTCTCCTGAAGCCTGATGAAAAGACGCATGCGTGGTCTGCTATCTGTCTCCATCAGGGTCCTTCTGAATCCTATTTACTGTACAGCAATCATTGACCTGCCACCATGGGATTCACAGAGGAGGTAGTGCCCGTGAAATCTGTTTTTTTGTGTGTGTGTGTGTTTTTTTTTTTCTGAAGCTTAAGTATCTAGCAGGGGACCAGGGTGTTATTTAGAAGCAAATATATATCATAGAATCCCAGGCAAGTTAGCCATTCACTGCTCTTCAAAAATCTACACCCAGCTGCTCGGGTTGTTTCACAGGTTGTTAATGACGTGAGCCGAGATCAGTTATTCTGGGAAGGTGAGCTGAAATCATTGGCAAGACAGGTAAAATGAGGTTGACATTTTCTTTCCTTGTGAATAGCGGCCCAGAATCTCTCATTTGTAAGAGCTCTGTTGTAATGAAAGAATCATGGAGTTTGTTGTCAAAGCCACATGCCCTCTCTGATCCCCGCATCGGTGACCTAGATGATGTTTTATGACTTATAGACCACAAGTTCAGCAAGATGTTTTGCAGACCTTGCAATACATAGTTCTCCCCATCCTCCCTTACAACCCCGAGGTCCTTCAAGTAAACCCAGTAAAACACATACAGTTTTCTCTGATCTCTGTGATACTCATTTCCAACCTGGAAACCGTAAAAGGAAGCCTGCAAGGAACAGAATGGAAATCATTAAATTACTTCGCTACAGTTAATGGTATTCATTAAAGGTAGCCTAGCATAAGCCAAAAAAAAATGTACGTAAGTTCCATGAAAATGATGCATAAGTCATTTACCATACAAAGGTATTCTTCGTAACTGAAGGAATGTCAGTTTACTGCGTAATAATATTATTGCCTAAGAGTTGAGTGTGTAACATGTGCTAGGCACTGTTCTAAATTATTACGAATTGTTCAACTTAATAGCCACCACGAACCCATAAAGTAAGTAAAATATAATTCTGTTGTTATAGTTGGGGAACCAGGCACAGAAATGTTAAGTAACTGAATCTGAGGTCACACAACTGATAAGTACCGGAGCCAGGATTTGAACAGTGACAGTCTAACACGAGAACCTATGCTCATTGCTTCTCTTCTGTAGAAGAAAAATTGACTCTAAACAAAATTATTGAAGTTGTCACGTTCCCCTTGGGGGCCATATAATTAAACGTGGGTATCTTGAGAAAAATGTTACCTTCAAAACATAATGCAAGTAATAATTAATGGAGCCAACCCTTTAGAATTATATATAAGATAAAACATCAAATAGTCAAAGTAATGTACACAGTATTTAGAAACACAGCAGCAGCACTAGAAACTTCTTTCCCTTAGAAATACGTCCACTGCAGAAGGAGAGGAATGGCTCTTTAAATTTGGTCTGTGTCTCTGTACCCCTTGCAAAGTAACTTTCTACCCTCCAAACCAGAGTTTCCGTAATTACTTAATAGCTCTAGGCAGAGCTGTTGATGTTTTTCTAATTTCCTTTACGTAAAGGTTAGCTTATGTTTACCACTGTCATTACCATAATATATTATTTCCCTTACATGATTTTCTGAACTCTGTTCTTTTAAGGCTTAAGGTATATTTTATGGTGTGAACATGACGGTAGGGGAAGAGCCGGGGCCCTAATCTTTACTTTGCTTTTCATAGAGGGGAGTGAAGGAGGTTCTCTGTGACTTGTTTGCCTGGGAATTCCAGAGTTTAAGACGCTGCCCCTCAGAAGTGTCCCGTGTACCTGTCTCAGTACTCCCCTCCTGGCCCTCATGAGATGTGATGTGACAAGCTCCAGCCCTGTCCTGGTGTTTGCCTGTCGCTTCTGAGGGATATACACAGGCGGGTGGGGGAGGCAGCTGGTCCGGGTATTCCTGGACAGCAGCTGAAAGAGACTGCCCCCCGTTTGTATGGAGTGTGCCTGAAATATACATGTGCCCCCGCCCCAGTGAGACTGATGTGTGAGTAGCAGGCCAGCTCCACCCCTGGTGCTTCTGACATTGCTGCTGAACCCAGACTCTGCACCTTTGTCCTGTTCTGTAAAACTGGCGATGTGAAATACCCTCTAAGGTGTCTTCCACAGTGGACCGTGGCCGCCATGTCCTGAGGTCGGCCACAAAACCCTTCATTCGGCACACATTTAGGGAGTGCCTGTTAGGTCCTAGGAGCTGGAGAGACAGTAATGAAAGTGGGCCCTGCCCTCATGGTGCTTACTATCTATACGGAAGCCGGACATGAAGTAATCACACAAATGTATAATTGGAAATTGCAATGTGAAAGAAAGGAACACGGTGCTGGGAAAGAGCCTAATTTAGACTGGAGGATGGAAAGGCCTCTTGAGAGAAGTAATATTCAAGTTGAGAAGGTTGAGTAGGAATTGGGCAAAACTGGGCGTATGCAGAGTGAGTGTAGCAGATAACCCTGGGCTCTGCCACCCTGACATCAGGGCCTGGAGCTGGAGAGGGAGGATGGAAATGGAGAGGTGGGCAGCGCCTTGCAGACCAAGTGGAAGATTTTGCATTGTATTCAAAGTGCAGTGGGACACCAAGAAAGGATTTTAAGCAGGGAAGTGACATCCACATTGTAATCTGAAAGGTTACTCTAGCTGCTGACCTGCTGAGCCCAAGTGCAGTGTGGGTCACCTCAGGGGTCAGTATGATAGACAGTCCCAGATTCCAGGATCCATACTGACACCGTTTCTAGGACTCCATCCCATTCAGGCTGCTGCA